GAGTCACCAGGGTTTTGCCCAGGGACAGAGTAAAAGGCTTTCCGTTCCCAATCCACATCCGCTTTCAGACTGCGCATAGGAAGTGGAAGGATGGTCTCAGAGGTGGGAATACACACGTGCAGCAAGGCCTGCGGGTGTGTCCGAGCAGCCCCGGTGCGAACGGAGCTCACCGGCCCACAGGGCTCCCGGTGAGGTGCGTGCACACCCTCCTCGCCCACCTCTGAAGGGGCTTCCTCCTGTCCCTAAGGAACATTTCTTTCAAACCACACTGGGATGCTAACGGGAAGAGACTCATCTATAATACAATGGAGACATCTCATTTCGGAGCCCAGAGACTCCTCCGGCACCTTTCTACCATCCCTTTAATCGTTCGAGACTTTCTTTGTTTCTCTTTTTTAAAAAGGTCACACTTTACATTTATTCTAGCCCAGTTGGGGATTAGTGATAATCAATTCCCACTGAAATCATGCAGAGATGGTAAGTGGGGTTTACTTTCTCTGGAAATGAACTTTTACTTACCTGATTGTTTCTTCTACAATGAACTGGTAAATGACCCCCCGAGCTGAGAAATGTGACTGACTCAAGTTTTTCAGACCACTTAACTTCACTCCCATTTCCATCAGAGCAGAGGACAACCTGGGGAAGGTCCTCGACAGAGTGAACCGCTCCAGGCCGAAGGGCCCACCTCGACCTCACTCCTGATGTGCTGGACAAGCTTCAGAGCAGCCTTAAAAACAAGCGACCTCCAAGTGAACTTCGACGGGAGAGGCGAGCCCCGTGCACCATGAGTAGACAACAGCTCTCACGTTAGAACAGCAGCATTTAACAGAAGGGCTAGTAAAGTTATGGCTATTGGACAATACTTTTAAACAGCTTAAAATCCATGCCTCTTCAATGCCTAAGCTGTGTGTCTTTCAGGCTGATGGTCTTGTGCCTCATCTGTAGCAAAACCCTCAACCAATCAAAAAAGGCATTAATAGTCAACACAATGGACAAGGAACCATGAGAAGCGACTAGATAGAACACACTTCTCTAAAGAATGGGTAGTTGGGAAGGGAATGATTCTCAAAAAATATTTCCTAGCCAATGACATTATCATCACACTGGGAAATACTTTCTGAATATAACCTGGAACTAAAAGCTTAAAAGCACTCATAAAGCAGGAAAGAAAAATGCATATGCATAACCTGCCTCTTAATATGTAATAATAACACTCAGTCTGGACACATTTTGGGAAGAGGACACCTTTTTACAAACCAGAGGGAAGATGGCTTTCTCTCGTCTTTCCCCTTTGCAGAACCAAAGGTGGCCTCGCTTTGAGGTTACTTGCATCTGGCTCCCATTCTGATGTTTTTTACAGCTGCCAGTTAAAAAGGGACCTTCTTTTGCTCAATTGCTTTGATCAGGAATGGAAACAACAGGCCAGACAGTTCAGCCTCCAAGGGAAACTTGAGGCTGTACTGTGGCCTCAGGGCTTTGGGTGGGTGTGCCCGTGCCACCAGAAATGGCTGGTGCAGGCCCACCCCCTCCCCAGAAAACAAGCTGGGTGCACACTGGCCGTATTCCCTGTGCTCCAGGTTGGGTGGCACAGGTGCCTGCGCCTGAATCCCACACAGCTGCCTTCCAAGTGGCCGGGTCAGCCTGGCCCTTGCTGAGGTCCACTTGTTATTAACTAACTCTCAGAGTTACTGGTTGAGGGAGAGTGGAGAGTAAAACATGCCCAGGAGGAGGGAGAAAAGGAAAGAGAAGGCAGTTTCTGCCCCAATAATAAACCCTGTGTGCCAAACGTCACCCTGATCTGCTCGCTCCGGCAGCTCTGCCCTTTGAAAATACCAGGTTTGGGAAAAGCAGAAGGTTGAGATGACTAGCCTGGTTTTTGGAAATGGTATTTACAGGCCTAAATGAAAAAGAAATAAACTTTTAAGCCCGACCACCTCTTAAGCTACTCTGATGGTGGTCGTGGCAAAGACACAGGTGCCTGGGCGCTCACAGGCCCCGAGGAGATCTGAGATGTGGAATTATGCAGAGCGTACCAAGCGGCTGGCTGCGGCCATTTCAAGCCTTCCTGTAGGCTGAGCCTTACCAGTGATTTAAGATGAAGTACAATGCTTTTTATTACACATCTAATTGTTAATGAGAGGAAATGCAATCAGCAGCTCCTTTTCACACTCTACATGGAATCGAGGAGACTGCTGAGTCCAGAAAAGATGTGGCCATTGATGGAGCCCAGGAAATCTCTGCCCCGCTTTTTGGGGAAGAGGGCGTTAGGAGAAGAGAGGAGAGTTGCAAATATGGAAGTACCAGGTCTGAGAGCCCATTATTGTCATAGAGGGTCACTTGCAGCAAAAGCCTCGTTTTGAAATTTTAACTGAACAGCATTTAACTCTTTCCAAGTGTTGCATTTTCTAGCCGAGTTGCCTCATGCTAGTGATGACACTGTCTTCATCCTCGTTCTTCTCAGGCGGAGCAGAGAACAGCTGAAGGGGTGGAGGAAGGAGGGAGAGGGACAGAAACAGAGAAGAGAGATGGAGGAAAGAGGCCCAGATCGTCAAGTGTGCTCATTCTTCTTGTCTCTCTTTCTTGCCCGAGACTACTCAGGACCGCTGTCTCCTACGCACAATGGGGCTTGCCGAGCTTGCCAGGCGCCGGGCATTCCTGTAGTTCACGGGAGACATGGGGTGCTGTCTGGCTTGAAGTTGCATCCCCCTCTCCCCTGGAAGTGGGTCTTTCCCAGCAGGCTATATAGGGAAACTAGTTCTTCTGCTTAACGGCAAAGCAAGAGAGATTCTGGCAAAACATTAAATATATTTATAAGTCATCTTTGTCTGGAACCAAATGAGGAAAAAACAGGTGCACAGGGGAAAGGAGGAGGGGAAGTGAGGTGAGGTTTAAAAGTTCTAATCATTCACGAAAGATAAAAGACATCTGATAGCAGCACGGAAGCAGTCAGCTGTGCTGAGGAGACCCTCCTGAGTCGACTGCCGACCACTGTGTCCCAACAGGAGTCTCAAAGCCCCACTCCTCGGCTAGTCCGGGGAAAGTGGGTAATATTTTGATTGTTACTGTTGTTGCTCATCCCGGTATTGGCAGATACGTTAAATACCGCAACTTTAATGAGTCCTGTGTGAAAACAGAGCAAATAATCATTAGTCCCTCTCCCTGTAGTTCTCACTTGCTCTATGAGAAAAAGAACTAACTTAGCTGTCAGATAGGAGAAAGGCTCAGAGGTCCTTTGTAATGCCTGCTCTTGGCCTGTGCCAAGCAGGAGCTTCTGTTAAAGGCTATGGCCTGTCTGGGGACTTGGCAGGGGCCTCAATGGCCTGCTCAGGGCCACAGTGCTTACAGAGTGACTACAGTGAGTGCCTGCAGAGACAGAAGTGTAGGTGGTAGCTGGATATGTGGCTTGGAGACCAAGGCAGAGTTGGGACTAGAGATACAAATTTGAGAGTCATCTACTCTGAGATGAGAGCTGAAGCCTTGGGAAGAGACAAGGCAGCCGAAGAAGGGAGCTTAGATAAGGAAGAAAGGCCTGAGACAGACTCTTAGGGGATGTGTGTGTTATGTTTCAGGGGTGAGAGGGGAAGGAGACATAAGCCATAAGAGCATCAGGAACAATTATTAAATATGGCAAAATGCCATAAAAAAACTCAGGAGCAGAAAATTTTGGCAAAGGAGGGGATAGATAACATGATTACAATATAAACACTAATAAACCCTCTTTTCCTAAGGACTTGTTAGGTGCTAGGCACTGGGCCAAGCACTAAGAATTTTACATGTAACATTTCAATGCAATCCTCACAACAGCTCTGGGTACTATGTACTGCAGCCTCATTCTGCTAATAAGGAAACTAAGGCTGTGGGAAGTTACTTGCCCCAGGGCACACAGCTCGAGTTCTCTCCAAGGTGTGCCTGTGTGACTTGGTTGAAGAGGCTGAGGGATGAGGAAGCAGCATGTCCTCTGTAAGAAGTGAGCACTGAAAAGAGCCCAGCAGGCACAGACCACCCCTCTCAGAAGAACCACATAAAAAGATGTGCAGAAAGGTGTACTGAATGTGCACTTCTTCCGCAAGCATCAAGGCAAGTGTGGGAAATGAGAAATCACAATGATGGCCAGGCTCCCCAGCAGTAGTGCGGTTTCCCCAAACAACGATCGCAATGTATGAATATATCACAAAATAGATAAAGATGAATTTTAGGATCTCTTTCTGCCTCTGAAGACTTGAGTGGGAGAACACATGGAATTCTCACCAACTCCAGAGCCACTTCCAAGGTCAAAAGAGGAGGTGGGGAGTGAGGATAAGCATTTTAAAAAGCTATCCTTTTAAAATCAAATGACACTGACAGATCTGTGAGAGGCCAGCATATTTCACCATGAGATTTCCCCCTTGGCACATTAGACTACCTAATTGATTTAAAGGGGCTTTATTACAGGTACTGGTTTAATCTGGGAACTACAAAGCCACAGGTTTTTGAGTCATTACTCTTAGTTTTAAAACGGATTCAAATATTTTTTGAATATTTATTTATTTTGAGAGAGCACTGATTTGTTGTTCCACTTATTTATGCATTCATTGGTTGATTCTTGTATGTGGCCTTACCGGGCTGACCTGGGATGGAACCTGTAACTAGGCATATCTAGATGATGATCTAACCAACTGAGTTGCCCAGCCAAGGCTCAATCTCTTACTTTCTGAACAATTCTATTAGATAACTGGGACAGGAATTACTAGTTCTACTGCACAAGGGTCATCTAGATCTAATTCCAGGATCATTTAGAACTGAGGCTGGTTTCCTTGATGAAGGCAGCATCCAATATGCAGCCCCAGCCCTGTCTAGTGATGGCAGCTCCCCTTGCTTTTCAGGACTTGGAAAGATAAAGGACACGAGAAGGCTCCATGAACTAGCAACACCTTACAGCCAACATTCCATCTCCTACTCACAGTGCCACGCACACAGTTCTTTTTCATACCTGGGCAAGTATGAGGTCAGTGTATGATCATTTATCTGGAGATATAGGTGTATGTTCGAGAAGGGGAGCGGGGGGGTTCAGCTTGGGCAGTTGGATCATTTAGAAAGTCCCAGATGAGGATTGTATCATCGTGTGAACTACTGACAATCTGGAATTCATCAAACTGGAGTCGGAAAACTCTTCCAGAATGCTCCTAAAGAAGGAGAAACAGAAACTTCTGAACTACTCAGAATCAAAAGGACAAATTCAACAACATGTTAAAAGAAGTCTAGGAAAAGGCTATGTTATCTTGATAATAACCAATTAACAGAATAAAGGTAAAAATATAAGATTATCTCAATGGATGCAGATGAAAACATTTAACAAAATCCAACATTATTTCTAATAAACACTCTCAGCAATCAAGGAACAGAAAGGAACTTCTAATACCTCTGATTTTATCTACGAAAAACCTAAAGCTAACACACACACACACACACACACACACACACACACACACACACGGTGAAAGACCAAATGCTTTTTCCCCAAGAGAAGGACATCCACTGTTAATTCTTTTGAACATTGTACCGAAGATCTTAGTACAATAAAACAAGAAAGAGAAATAAAGGTACAAAGATTGAAAAAGAACTAAAAGTATATTTGTACATACTTGCAAAGAACAATCCAGAAATTTCAAAATACTATTTATAACAGCATTAAAATATGAAATTTTTAATATGACAAAAGATGTATAAGACCTTTAACATTGACAGCTATAAAACATTTTTGAGAATTTTTTAATAAGACTTAAACAAACAGAGAGATATACAGTATTCGTGGATCAGAAGACTCAGTATTGTTAAGCAGTTACTTCTCTCCAATAGAAATTGATCTGGATTTAACACGATCCCAATGAAAATCTTAGCAGATTTCTTGGGTGGGGTGGTGTGGGGTAAAATTGGCAGATTCTAAAATTCACATGAAAATTCAAAGGACGCCTCCCCCCCAAAAAAAACCCCCCAAAAAACAACCAAAAACTTTGAAAAGTACGAAGTTGAAGGACTTACATTACTTGCTTTCATGAGTTATTAAAAAGCTGCAGTAACCAAGTTAATATGATACTGGTATCAAAATAGACAAACAGACAAAAAGATCATTGGAACTGAGAAGGTCCATAAGTAGACCCCCACATATATGGTTAACAGGTTTTGACAAAAATGCAAAGGCAATTCAGAGGAAAAAGGATAGTTTTGCATAAATGGTACTGGAACAACTGGATATCCCTGTGAACTTTGAACCATACCTTATACCAATGATCAGCAAACTAAGGCTCGAGAGCCATATGCTAGACTCCGACCACTGACCTAGACTCTCGATTCCAATAATTACGGGCTGTTGTTGTTCCTTGTGATTAAGTCCCTATCCAGTGGTCGGCAAACCAATTAGCCAACAGAGCTACAGTTTGCCGACCACTGCCTTATACCATCCACAAAAATTAACTCTAAACTCAGTAAGAAACCTACTCAATTAAAAAAATGGGCAAAACAGGCCCAGAGCAGCGGCTGCCAGGCTGGGAGCGGTCAGGCCCGGAGCAGCAGCAGCCAAGTCCAGAGCAACTAGGTCGGGAGTGGCAGTGACCAGACCCGGAGCAGCTGGTTGTGGAATGAACCAGAGCAACAGAGGCCAGGCCCTGAGCAGCCAGGCCCAGAACAGCTCACTCCTTGCCTGCCCCTGCCCCACAGCTGCTTCTCAGACATGGCTGGAAACTTTCGTGGGAACTTGAGGGTCTGCTAAATCAAGTGATGAAGGCTTAGATCTGGATGTGTTGAGTTAGTTTAGGACTGGGGTGTTGATCTGTGAGTGCCTTGGGTGGGGCCTGGATGAGGCTGGTGGACCTATTGGGAAATGTCTTTTGTGTGAAGTGTATCCTTGGGCATGTGGAGGTATTATTGATATGAGAAAATGCTAAGTAACTGATTTACTATCTGAAAAGGGATTTACTATTGGGGAAATTGAGGGAAGAAGAGACTGAACATAAACTGCACCTATGGATGAGGACAATGGGGGATGGGGAGGGAGCAGAGGGTGGGGTGGGAACCTGGTGGAGGGGGGAAGAAATGAGGAACCTTTGTAATAATATGAACAATAAAGATTGATTAAAAAAAAAAATGGGCAAAAGATTCAAACAGACATTTCACCAAAATAGGTATCTGGATGGCAAATAAACACATGAAATGATGCTCAACATTAATATTAGGAATATGCAAATTAAGACACAATGAGATACCACCAGACACTTAGAATGACTCAAAAAGACTGTACACTAAGTATTGGTGAGGATGTGGAGTAACTGCACTATTGTATTGCAATGTTAAATGGTACAACTACTTTGGGAAATAGTTTGGCACTTTCTAGAAATATTATACATTTACTATATGATCTAGAAATTCTGCTCCTAGGATTTATCAGGGAGAAATGTAGGCATATGGTCACATAAAGATTTGCACATGTTTATAGAAACTTTATTTGTAATAGCCCACAACTGGAAATAATCCAAATTTTCATTAACTGGCAAGTGGATAAATTGTGGTATACCCATACAATGAAATACTACTTAGCAATGAACTACTGATTTACATCAACAACACAGGAGAATATAAAAATAATCAGACTTAATGAAAAGAGGCAAAAAAAGAGTACATACTCTTTTTTTTATTCCATTAATTAAACCATAAAAAATGCAAACTAATCAATATTGACAAAAGCAGATTAGTGGCTGCTTGGGGACTGGAGCAGAGGGAAAAGGGCAGAATGGGGAGGGAGTATTACATAGGGGGAATGAGGATACGTTCATTATCTTGGTTGAAGTGGTAGTTTTATTGGTATGTACATATGTTAAATTTATTAAGTTGCATATTTTATTGTATGTCAATTATATTTCAATAAATTCTTTTTAAAAATTTAAGACAACTCAATAAATGAGGACAAGATTTGAACAGACACTTCACAAAAGAACATGAAAAGATGTTCTACACCATTAGTTACTACAAAAATGCAAATTAAAACTATAGCCATTACACACTTATTCAAATGGCTATTAATTAAACAACAACAACAGATGATACTACCGTGTTTCCCCGAAAATAAGACATCCTCCAAAAATAAGACCTACTTACAGGTTTCCTTCTGAGTGAAATATAAGGCATCCCCCCGAAAATAAGGCCCCCCCTAGGCTAAACATGAGAGATTTGGTCCACTGATTCTGAAAGAAATGGAGTCACAAGAAATTCACCAGGAAATTCAGGAACTGGATTGTTAGGATGATGTTCCAGAGATGATGACATGATTGTCATTGTATAAATGAGTAAATTCTTGATACTGTAGGATTCACAGTTTGTCTGGTTTGTGTTGATAACTACCGTACTACCATACCGTATACAGGTAATAAATTACCTTTATTTTCATTTAACAATAAATGTGTACCATATTCTTCTTCATGGAAAAAATAAGACATCCCCTGAAAATAAGACCTAGCACATCTTTGGGAGCAGAAATTAATATAAGACACTGTCTTATTTTCGGGGAAACAGGGAAGCTCTGGCCAGTGTGGCTCATTTGCTTGGACATAGTCCTATGCAACGAAAAGTTGCTGGTTTGATTCCTGGTCAGGGCACATGCCCAGGTTGCATGCTTCTGGTAGGGTGCATGCAGGAGGCAACTGACCAATGTTCGTTTGCATCAACGTTTCTCTCTCTCTCTCACTTGCTCTTTCTAAAGAATCTTAAAACAACACAAAATTGACAATACTAAGTGCTATCAAGGATGTGCAAAAGTGGGACTCGCATACATTGTTGGTGGGAATGTAGAGTGGCATACATTTGCAAACTCCCAAAATGCCACTTTGGAAAATAGCTTAGTACTTCTTTTAAATTTAAACATACAATGACTATAGAACCCAGAAATTGCAAATATAGGTATTTACCCAAGAAAAATGAAACAATATGTACATACAAAATCCTGCATGGGAATGTTTTCAGTATCACCTAAAGCTGGAAACATCCCAAATGTCCTTAAGTTGGTGAGTGAATAAACAAATTGGTTCATCCGCACAATGGAATACTACCCAACAATAAAAAAGAACTTAGTACTAACATATGTAATAACATGGATGAGTTTTAATGAAGTAAAAAGAGCCAAAGGCAAAAAGCTACATACTGTATGATTTAATTTATATGACATTCGTAAGACAATAAAACTACAGGGACAGAAATGAGATGAACAGTTGCTGGGGGTGATTCTAAGGGACACAATTTTGGGGAGATGATGGATATTTTCTATAATTTAATTGTGGTAGTTACACATCTGTAAAATTCATAACAGTACGCTAAAAATGGACACATTTTGCTGAATGTAAATTATACAATTATGTAAAAACCAAATCTAGATTAACTGTAAATGAATGAAAGTACACATTTTAAAAAACATGTGTAAAACATGAAAGTAAAGCATGTATAGTATTGAAACAATGAGCTTTAAATCCAACAGGGAAGACAAAGAAATGTGTCCCTCTTTTTCAGAGCAGAGAATACCTAAATGCTGAGCCAGGATTTAGAATCCTGGGCCTTCAAATGCTTGCTCTCCTCTTTTCCCTGAGTTGTGCAAAAGTCTGTCTTCTCTAGTGCCCCGCCTAATCGTTTTCTAATCGAAGCAGCTTTTATACTTAGAACATTTTCTAATCCAGGCCTTTGGCATGATAAAGAATTTAGTGCTTTTGAAGGTGATATAAGTTCTTTTAGAGTCACTTCTTCTTCCAAATGTCAAGATGTTCAGGCAAGGGAGTACACACAAAGAATGAAAAAGATGGGATTCAAGTTGCCGGAGGCAGCATGCCTTGAATAGGATGAAGGACTAGGGCTGACCAGGGGCTCATACAGACTCCCATGGCACTTTTTGCAGGCACAGGTGTGCAGGTCCTCAGATTCTGGACAGGTTCCAATATGAGCAATGATGTTCCTTCTCCCTAAGTACCCACTACTGCTTCTGGTGGATACAGAATTCTTATTCACTTCCTGTACCAGACTGATGTGGAGAGTTGCTGTGCAGCTGTTAAACAGCTGCCACATTTCTTTCCACATATAGTCTCTAAAGCACTTTTGGATGAAAGGCGCTATATAAACATATTTTATTGTCATGTATTGGCTGCCTTTCCACTTAGTAGTAGGTTTTGTGAGGTTCTAACTATCAAATCCAGATCTGTATTCCACAGTACATCAGTGTTTAATTTCTTCTCCTTCCCACCCCCCAACTTCCTTAAACATTAGACTCTTACCACAAGCGTCCGTAGACAGAGAGTCCCTGCAGGAGCACGGGGGTCCAAAGCAGCTACAAGATCCCACACTTTAATTTTCCTAGAGATCAAAAAGGGGACAAAAATCTTAATTAAAAGCAAAATTAAGGGAGCACAGGAAGAATAGCAAAACGTCATGGCAATAAATAAGTATGGTGAATATAGTTTATATAATAAATGCAGCTCACAGGAATATATAAAAACTTTTTTGTTTTGGAGACTTGGTTCTTATATTCATTCTTGATCTTAACAGGGGAAAATATATGTAGTTAACCTAAAAACAAGAAACAGGTTAGCTTTAACCAAACTGATGAAGACAGTGAATGGCAAAGCTATACTATACTTTGGGGCTAAGAGAAGATCTTATACATTAGGCCTCTTAATAAAGTAACAGATCACTTAAACCTACAAACCTGTAACTCTGAAGCATCTTTGTTTTGGTCAATTCTAAAAATGACACAAGTCACATGAACCAGAGGACTGGGGTCTATTTAAGAATTCTGGAATTTATATTAAGAATCCTCATATTTTGATTTAAGTAAGAAAAGTTTAGCCCTTCTAAACTTTTAATTGTAGGTCATGTTTCCTCATGATAAATGACCCATAAAACCCAAGAAAGGTGGATACAGATCAAAACCATGGGAATGAGAAAATGTAACCTTGGACCTAGCTGAAACATGTTATCACATCCTGAACAATTTCCCAAGGATATGAGAGTGATGGTTGACTCCAAGCACAAGTAGCAGGTCTGCTACACTTCCTGCTGCTTGAATTATCTTAACATATCAGTATAGTCAGTTCATCCACTAAGATAATGTTAAGTTAGTTTCTGATATTTAAAAAGCTGCCAATATTTGAACTGTAGCTTTGTACCCTGACAAGAAGAAATGATAAAGAGGTCTACATAAGTGAATATACTTTTTATAAGAATTTACTATGTGCTTAGCATTGCTAAACATGGGATTCATCTATATGAATGGATTCTATATTCACCGAAAATCAGACTGAATAAAATAAAAACTTATTGAACTCATTGTAACTGAAATGCTAGAAGAAGCAAAGACAAGGGAACTGCACTTTTGGAAACATTCAAAGATATAAAAATTTAAGATCCAACCACATGAAGCCCCATAGATATTGCCCTCCAATGTTTTAGTTTTATAGTAAGTCACTATTTTATATGTATATCTTGTTATACTAGATTTGTCCAATTCTCTGCTTTATAGGGAAAAGTGGAAAACATATAACCAATATCAACTAACAGTCATGAGCAAAAAAGGGCAATTAATGGGAAGAATATTTTTGAAAGAGTAAACAAAGGAGTGGTGAATACATAAACTAGTCACAAGGACTATTGTACTGGGTCCTTTCTGTGAAATCTGTAATCTTTTAGACACAAGGAAAGGCTATATTTAACATCCTAAAGCAGGAGAGATTAAGATGTAGATACAAACTCACCCATCATAGGCTCCACTGACTATCCTCTTATTATCAAATCGAATACAGCGCACCAATTCCTCATGGCCTTCTAACACTCGTAAACATGCACCACATTCTATGTCCCATAATCTGGAAAAGAAAACTGAGTCAAGTGAATTTTCATATATTCATTCCTAAGCTTGGAATGTTATAATAATATATTATACTTCAAATGTTTTTTTAAAAGTCCCCAAAATAAACACCCACGCAAAAATGTACTGCTTTCAATGTAATTTATTTCCTTTCTGCCATATAACTGAGGTAGAAAAATGGATATTTTAAGTTCAAACATAGTATATAGTTTCATTTGCTTTATATAATTTTGTAACCATACCAGTAGATGCCTGTGAAGGAAATGACCAAGCCAAGAAAAGCAATGCTTCCTGAAATCACCAATAAGAATGAGATGAAGAATGTCAGTGACATCCTGACCTCACAAAGCATGTACACCTCTTCCCTGAGGACACTCTCTGTTTTCACCTATTACAGGACAGTCTTTCTCATTTAATGGAAACGCAAAAGGAGTTCTCAAAAACTTTTATATGTTAATATACAAAAACTGTATGCTTTCAGACCAATCCATATGATTTCTAGGAACGATAATTTCATCCTCTTAGTACTTTGAAGGAATTGAGAGGATTGATAAATCATCCAAATACAATTTATATCTGCGTTGTTCATCTTTGTGACAGAAAAACACCAAAAATACTTCAATTAGTGGATTTTTTATAATTTCAGACTGGTAACTCCATGTCCAATTATGCTATACTAAAAATGCACGCTTGCTAGCAGGGAAAAAAATCTTGTTTCTTATTTTTAGACCATGGGCAGATAGAAATGGCTCTAGCTATTTATTAGCACTTTCCAACTGCAGACAGGTGAAATTTAAAGGGAAGGGCTTTTAACCTCAACCTGCTTATCTCTCTTGCCCACTTCCTCATTCAAGCAGTACCTTTTAAATAGTCTATCTGGTGATATAACTATTACAGGAAGGAAATACATCAACAAAAGGATTTGCTGTGCTGCCTCTCTGCTTGGGGCAAACTTTTGACCTGAAAGAAGCTACAGAAAGAAAAAACATTTTATAATAAACGTAACACAGTTGAAGATTTGTTTGAACTGTGCACAAACAATGAGTGGTAGGATGATACTGATCCCTTCTGGACAAGACACCTGGTGCTCACCTGATAGTGTTGTCAGATGAACCACTAACCACCAGCCTGTCTCTGTACTGCAAACAGGCGATGCCACGTTTGTGTCCATTTAAGGTCCTCACAAATTCACAAGTACTAGTGTTCCATACCTGAAACAATATGGCATTTGGCAGGTGATTTGGTGCTCTCACTAGTAATATCTACGGCAAGTGGAGTCCTGGAGAGGTAAGGACTACTAAACTAAGTCAAGTTCTCAAGCCAAACCAAACCAATGACAAGTTTGATTCATGGTAATATAGGGCTAATTTGTAGCTCATTGCTATCACATAAGAATTTCTCAAATTGATTTACTCTATGGTGTTAGTCTGGTCTTACAGACAAATTTTCTTTCTTTCTTTCTTTTAAAAAAAATATATATTTTATTGATTTTTTTACAGAGAAGAAGAGAGAGGAATTGAGAGTTAGAGACATCGATGAGAGAGAATCATCAATCAGCTGCCTCTTGCACACCCCCTACTGGGGATGTGCCCGCAACCAAAGTACATGCCCTTGACGGGAATCGAACCTGGGACCTTTCAGTCCGCAGGCAGACACTGAGCCAAACCGGTTTCGGCCAGACAAATTTTCTTGAACCTAAATTGACTCCTGCCCTTCCTACACTCACCATTATTTATAGTACTAAAATACCTAACCAAAATTATCACACAACTTATCTCATTTATTATCTTTTTACTTAAATATTTAATTAGTCTACAGGGATGTTTTAATATGAAATAGCCCTTAATCAGGTTTTCCCATGAACTCCCTTACTCTTAAGTTGGACTCTTACCTTTATAGTCCTATCTCCAGATGCAGAGACAATGTACTTGTCATCAAAGTCTACAACATTGACGGCAGCTCTGTGTCCGACTAGCACCCTCCGGAGGGTGATGTCAGTTGGGGAGGCCATATCCCATACAGCAATGGAACGGTCTTTGGAGCAGGTCACCATCATGCCGTTATTGAAACGCAAGTGCAGAACTGCTTCACAATGATGAATCAACGTGTTTAGCATTTCACCTGTATTTACATCCCACACCCTGGAAAAAACAACGGTAAGAAGGCTATCTGAGATTTTGATGGTACTAATGCTACAATGTACTACCAATATTTGATCACTGTGCTTCCCACCTCTCTTACCCCACTTTCACACTAGTACTACACCCTATTCTTCTTCTGCATTTTAAAAATTGAACAGAGGTAAAGAATACTGATGGATCACAGGGAATTGGTAGATAGAGGGCTGGGCTAGGAGAGTAGGAAAAGCAAAAAGATAGGATGCTGCCAATGTGAAATGCTTAAAGACACACTACTTCAAATGTGGGCATGTGTAGGGAGTAGGAATGAGGTAGTAGCCACATCATCTACTAATTGGGCCCAGATCTCAAGATTATTATAAAATTTCAGAAATTCAATCTAATACCATTAATAAGATACATTTGAAACTGGGGATCTGATTAATAATAGCAGCATCAGTGTCCTATGGATAGCCCTCAGGAACTAGAACTAATATAGGTCAAGAAACTTCTGTAACAGACTGAAACTGCTATAACAGATTGATTTATGGATTTGATTTTGATGTCCCTGAATCTAAGATTTTACCACACAAGTCAAGGCCCAAGATTACTTAGATCCTAAGTGTAAGGTTCCACTTCTGAGCTTTAAATGGGGGTTGGGATCAAGAAGGGCCAACATCTATAAACATAGGCTTCACAGTAGAGAATAAGACCCTTAGATAGCTTGAGAATTTTATGTGACGAAATATAGTATTTGACTTTGATACTCTTATTTTTGTATATTTACTTTGGTTTTTATAACACAAGTTATTCCTTTTTCCAGATTAACTCCGTTTTTCAGAAAATCATTTTTTCCCTTATCCTATCAATGATGTTAGCCTCTACAACGTTTCAGCTTCCTTGAGGCATTCCACATGCACCAATAAATGTTAGATGTCGATAACTGTAAGAAGTGAGTTTGCTATGCCTTTAAGTCAAAAGACAAGAAACAAGAACAGTCTTTTCTAATCACAGAGGATAACTGAGAATGGCGAACAATTAACTTCAGAGACTCTAACAATGCAGTTAACTGCTTTCCCCCTCTATTTTTAAAAAAGTTACTTCTGATGCATTATGTTTGCTAAATCCTTTAGCTTAAGGCAAAATTTCTAACAGAGGTTTCCAGCAGTGCTTCTGGTACCCAGAACTCAAGCTACACTGGACTCCAGCAGCATAATGGCTGTGTCATCAAATTACTAATGCCTCTGGAAATTGAAGGCCCCTCCCTGAGTGAAGCTTGCAATTAAAAACTGCAGGGACAGCAGGGGAGGGGCTGCAAAGAGCGAGCATTTCTCACCTGTACACGTTTTAAAGGAGATAACACATTACTGCACTACAGTTATAACCCCTGAAAGGAAGGCTTCATTTCATTCATGTCATTCCCTTGTGAGGTGGTTTTTTAAAGGAATGCAAGGTTTACCAAGTTTCTGTAATGGATGACTCCAGCAAATTAAAACAGAATGTGTAGTTTCTTATATGTATAAAAATGTAAACTTACCTTAACCATTCCTAATTCAAGTTTTTTAGTTCTAGATGAACACAACGATGGGGGGAGCTGGTTTATTCTTCTTCAGTTATGAAATGTTAGAACTGTGTTCATGCAGATACACACAGAATTACTATCTATGACAAAGACAGAGTGGATCTGATATTTCAGAGCTCAAAAAAATCGTTTGAAATTTTCTACCTGACTGTAGAATCCGATGATCCAGTTATAATCACCCTCTCGTCATACTGGAGACATAGGACAGAACCCGTGTGGCCTGTGAGAATTCTCTTGCATTCCAACGTGCTTTTATCCCAGATCTAGGAGGGCAAACAAGATCCGTTTGATCACTGTGATAATGGGGTGCTGCAGAGACTTGCTGGCTCTATTATGTGTTTGATACCCCCAAAGAATCAAAGCTCAGAGTAGTGTGGAATGCATTCTTTTCGCTAAGCACCTACATAGATGTGGCTTCAGTACTAATGCAGACTTTATCCTTTTCATTAAGGAACAGGGAGAACCTGTAATTATGAGGGCTAAGAGTAATAGCTCATTCAGTGAACTTCAAGAAAAGAATTTAACAACCCATTTATATGCTCTTCTTGAGGGAAGCAGTTAAGGAACTGATTTTGGCTTTGGGACTAGAAACAACCTTCAATGCTCACTTACTTCCTGGAAATAAAACTTAGAATTTATGCTTTGGATTGTTTTATGAATGTGGTCACCCTAGCTTCTTCGGCTACTTGCCCACACCTGAAGAAATCTCACCTTGATAGTGTTGTCTCGAAGGCCGCTTACTATCTTCTGATCATCATACTGCAAACAGTAAACTCCTTTGCTTGTCTCACTTCGGCAGTGAATTCTCTGTAAACTATGCCGACCACATCTCCAATTAGATTCTATTGTCTGAGAAGAAGGAATGGGAAAAGGTAGTAATTAGGAAAAGAACAAAACTAAACACTTATCTAACTTTCATGCAACCAATGACAAATGCTCAATGCTTAAGGCAAACTAAAAGTATGTGTTCTCTCTCTCTCTCTCTCTCTCTCTCTCTCTCTCTCTCCCTCCCCCCCTACCCCCACCCCTTCCACTTTCTCAATGGAAAAATATCCTTGGATGAGGATAAACAAACAAACAAACGCCATTACTTAAAATTATAAAACATTTTTTCATTTGTAAAGTAATTAAAGATTTATTTTCTAGAACTCTTTATAGAATTCATTCAAGTAAAAAATAAACCTGGTAGAAAGAGACTGCTCATGACAGAAGACAATCTATGAACCACATGAAGCTACGTGCTCAGTGGGCTTCCACCAGGGTGGTCATTACTACCAGTGAATCTCTGTGGAGGCTCAATTGAGAAGATATCTGAATATCAGGTTAAGAGTGCAACTTTAGCAGTCTCACTGATATTATATGAAGACATCATAATCTCTCTCTTTCTCTCTCATTTAACAATCCATCCATCCATCTGTCAGTAACAACTTTTAAACACAAATCTTTGCCTGGCAATTTACTATATTTTACCTACTCTATTCTCTTATGAAGAAATTGATTTTTAACTCACATCAATAAACCTTAATGGGTTTGCTGTAACAATGCTGTTACTGAAGATGTTGATGATTCTCTAGTATTTGGCAAATACCCAAATATACATAGATTCTTACCTCAATGTCTTGTATGATTTTAGGATAAAGTGCTCTATAAAAAGAGTTGGGAGGAGCATTCCCATCAGGAGGTTTGTTTTTGAATAAATACTGTCCCCTAAAAAACACAAATATTTCATAATAAAAATCATAATTTTATGCATTCACAAGGAGTCTCATATTTCTTCAAAGGGTTTTCACATTCATCATTCCATACAGTCTCCCTAACTAGCCTGGAGAGGAATGAAGTTAAGTCTGGATTCAGGAGTCCCACATCAAGGAGTAACTTTCTGGGTTCTAAGGAACTGGGCCAATATCAATTTACTTTTGGGAAAAACATGATTTCCAGTGTAGAACATCGAGTATCAGGCCTTCAGGAATATTATAAAGCCAATACTTAAATGAAATACATATAATCAGAATCCAACTATTGGTCTCTTAGACCTCTGGAAAGACAGATTTATTGGCCTTATCTTTTGAAAATGTTACTCATGATGATATCTATGTACTATCTTTGTACTACTAGGCATATGTCCCACAGCCTTTTTTTTCACCGAGTAAGGCTGTGCTAGTCAGTAGAGCCTCGCATCATGAGCAGTAGGAATGCCTCTGTCACAAAGAACACTTTTTTTGTCTTCATTTATGGGGTTAAGGTTTGGTGGCAACTCAGGCACCCTGGCGATCAGTGTAGCTATGCTTGAAAGGAGCAATTTAGTTCATTTGCACAGAAAACAAAGGATCACAGGAGTGTTCAGAAGCAGGTATGGAAGAAGATAGAAAGAAATGCCTAAAAGCACTGTGCTGTCAAGTCTAAAGCATGAAATTGACTTTCACAGGTGTGTTCCTGGCTATGTACATACATCCACACATTTTACTGCCTTTCCTTGATTCCAGTGAGCAACATTTATTAGCATCTCCTTCCTTATGACAGCACATCTTTGGAATGCTCATATCCCAAGCTAGATCTTTGCTACCAAAAAAAATCAGTAAATGGCAATCACTTCCTGCTGGGTAAAAAATTTAATTCCTTATCCTGAAGTTAAGAACCCACCAAACACGGTGTGGAAGCTAGTAAACCCCACTATGGGTGTACTAACTGCTGTTCTCACTGGCACTGTGCCTTGCAAAGTGGAGATAGGCAGAAATGCCTCTGAGTGTAATCCTGGCACTAGAGAAATCATGTTTTCTCTGGGCCAGTCATCTACTCCTCCCTCTATAGCTCCATTACAATATAATTAATTGTTTGATGTCTCTAGGAGCGCTTCTCTCCTGCCCTCTTCCTATTATGCACCTTGAAAATTAGTTGAGAGAATTTCCTATCAGAAAGGTAGCTGCTGGCTCTGACTTCTGTGTTAATACGGAAAGGGAAATCTGCAATGGAGATACTAAAAAATAGTTTTAAGAAAGGGACAAATAGGAACAAGCAATAGGATACTCCAACATAAAAAAAAAAAGGGGGGGGGGCAAACAAGATACACTGAAGTAATTCTTGCTTTAAAAAGTTAAACTCTTCTCTAAACAATCTTATTCTAGCAACACACTGCAGACAAACAATAGATTCTGAATGAAGAAATTTTAAATCTGGTTAATAATTATAATTTAATGACTTCAACTCCAACATCCTTTAATGAGGTAGGAATCACTACATTAATTTTACAGATAAAGAAATCAAACACCAGGGAGGTTAAGAAACTTGCCCAAGGTCACATAGCTAGTGTGTAGAGCTGAGGTTTGAATCTAAGTCTGACTTCAGATCCCATACTCTGAAATACTTTATTGTCTCTCAATGTCCACTATTCTTCAGATTCCTGTCCTCTTTTTATTTTTTTATAAAAAAAAAAAAAAAAAAAAAATATATATATATATATATATATATATATATATATATATATATATTATTGTTTTTTTACAGGGAGGAGGAGAGAGGGATAGAGAGCTAGAAATGTCGATGAGAGAGAAACATCGACCAGCTGCCTCTTGCACACCCCCCACCGGGGATGTGCCCGCAACCAAGGTACATGCCCTTGACCGGAATCGAACCTGGGACCTTTCAGTCTGCAGGCCGACGCTCTATCCACTGAGCCAAACAGGTTTCGGCTCCTGTCCTCTTTTTAATCTCTGCAATTATACACAGGCATCCCAGGATTTCTTCATAATTAATGAAACTATTTCTATATTCTAAGGAAAGAGAAATTATATAAACCTGTGATCATTTTCTACTGCACCACAGTTACCATGGCTTGCTAAAGTATCCGAATTTCTTCATGTTAGAGGTGTTACAAAAAAGGGTGGCTAGGTATTTAAAACTGGTTTCTCAGTCTATAAGTCAAAATCTTTTATGATGGAAGCTCTTTGACAACAGGGAACACTTTTATATGAAATACCTAGTACCTCTGAGAGTGTGAGTACATGCTAACTGCTAAATATTAAATTCAGAATGTTTTCATAAAATGTGACCTGCTAATTAAGAAAACAGACTTTCCCCAAGTTGTCTTTTATTATACTTTTAAGAGTTAACCATTACTGAGCAAAGAGAGCACATTCAGTATTGTTTAAGAGAGAAGATGGAATTTACATAGGGTCAGACTAATTCATTTAGATACAAATTACAACAGCAAAGTAGAAGTTAAACCCAAAACTTTATTAGAAAACTGTATTTACTTATTTAAATATTTTCGGTTGGATGAAATGGGCAAAACTATCAATGACAGCATTTGGGGGACTTGATTGATATAGTAGGCTTGGTAAGCTAACTTAAAAGAATAAAATGAATAACTGACCATGTACTAAAATTTTTTTGGTTTAAGTGGGGGGAAGACACTAACACAGGAAGAAAGGCAACATGTAAAAATAGAAGTAGCCACAGAAAGTCCAGGTGATACTGGAAGTGGAAAAAAACTTGTAATTTCATGGGGTTACATTAAGCTAAGATGAGAAATGTGGCCAAAGACAAAGGAATATAAGAGTCAGGACTCTGAAGGATAGTCAAAAGAGCAGGAGTGGGTTCCTATGGCTGAAGAGATAGGGGAAAGAGGGATAATTACAGTCGGATCCTGGATTATTTCTCAGTTATACCTTCACACACCCCTTTTAAAAAGTCCCAAAGCCAATTTTTCATTGATCTCATATTTTTTCCTGTATAACTAACATAACAGATCTTGCTGTTGAGTGTCAACTCTAAGCAAAATTGTGAAGACTGTGTTGATTTTGTTATTTTTACATGCATCTGCTCAAATCTGCCCGTATACTTCTTGTTCTCACTATCTTAAGAAAAAAAAAAAAAGACTGTAAACTCCCAATGTCTGATAAAGGTTCACTATCCTTTATAGTCCAAATGGGACCAAAGTGTATTTTAACAGGGAACAAAACCTTTATAGCTATGGGGATGAATCTCTATAACGGAAATTTCAGGTCAGGAGTGATTTGGAGGAGAGTTTCTTTTCATTCCCTCCCCCCCTTGAGGGGCAGAGAAATAGTCCTAGCTGTCCTAAAATGTTCCCATGTAAGCAACTGCCTGCTCTATTTCTAAGGATGGTCTTGGCACACTTAACAAAATGATGGACTCTGAATACCATACAACTACATACTATTTTGTTTTTTATACTATAAAGAATTTATTTCCAAAGTATGGCATAAGTTATGAGAGATAAGGTTTCTATTTTTCTATATAGTGAAATAAATGAGGATAGAAAAATATTTGGGGAAAGAGAAATAATTGTATGCTTTAATTTATGCAATTTTCACATAGCCAAACAATTGCCTGGCATTTTCTCCTCTTAACTGAATTTGAGAGAAATATTAAAGTCTTTCTAATAGCCAGAATGACAGACTCTCTTGCAGCACTTGGTATAAAATTTACAGGGCATTTTGTTTATTATATACTAATTAATTTCAAAGATAAAAGGGAGCCAACTATATTATAATGAAAATTGCTAAGAAAAGCTGATCCTCCATTTTTAATTGTTTTATATCTCTTTATGATCTAAGGTAAACAACTGATAAAATTCATTGCTCAGAATAATATCAAGCATAATATGCCTGCTGATGCATATCTATCAACTAAAATATTTAATGTCACCTTTATTTTATGGAAATATTCATAGCTGACTTTCTTATAATGACATTCTCTTGGAGCAAATTATATATAGAAGAATCTTCCAGAAGTTCTAGCAAAATAGTACCATTACATTAAGAAAACAACAAAACTGATAAGTCTCAGACTGCTAACTATAAAATGCCTTAAAGAATTCAAGCTTAAGCAGTAAAATCTTGAAAAAATATGTCTTATGAAAAAAAATCATTATTTATACCAAATCCCATTTTTCATTTTTCTGATGGCCATAGCTCTTATTCTAGTTGGGCATAAAAAATAATTTTGATTACAAAGGCAATAAAATACCCCAGGCATGGGCTAAAGGCAAGAAATCTTCTAAAGGAGAAAATAATTATTTGTTCTGGATTGTTTTAGCGGAAAGTAGATCTGATGGCATCTACGTGATTCAAAGTCATCCACTTGCCTTATAAATGGCCCCTCAGCCCTTTTTCAGAATACTGTTTCTGCCCAGAGAACGGAATGCTTTAAACAGGAAGGCTAGTCTGGTTTTTTGTTATTTTTTGCAAAGCAGTGTTAACGTATTATTATGTCATTTATGTGTGATTGGTCAGAAAAAAAAAAACTGCCTAGCACATGAGCAACTATTCTACATTTTTTTCTATAAGCCAGCAAAATCACTGTATTCAATGAGAAATGGTCTCACTGGTTCCCGACAACATTCCAGTGAAGGAGTGGCCAGGTCCCGAAGCTCTAACAGTAAGAAAGTTAAAAGGCTCACCATCCTCTTCGTTCTGCCAGGCCTCTCCACAGAGAATCTGTCCTGACCATTCTCTCGATGAGCTTTTTCCATAACATGCCGTCAGATGTTACTCGGTACCATTCCTTGCACACAAGCTCAGCAGCACATAGTGATTTGGCATCCAAGTATGACAGAATGTTCTCAGCAATGTGATCCAAACCCCGAGCTTTTGGTGAGCGAAGGAGGCAAAGAAGAACATAGATAGTAAGTGATTTTTTACAAAAGGTCTTTGAAACAAACAGCATTTATTCTGTTATGAAGGCACATCACTGTCCCTAGTGTGGTCCAGTTTCTTTTTCAAACAGAAACTTAGGTCAAATGAATGTCAATAATTTTTCCATAAGGTTACAGAAATGAACAGTATTTTCTATCTTCTTTTAGATAAGGAAGTTAAAGCTAACATCCAGCAAACCCCCCAAGACATTAAAAATAAAAAGGATTCCAGAAAACAATTCACATCTATCTGTATGGATTTCAGCACTAGGGGATGTTCTATAGATGGCATCTCAAACCCTGTGATTCAGACCCCCCCAAATCTCTATATTAGGTCCATTTCTCATTCTGTTTCTATTACTGCTGCAGTTCCAAAGCTGTTCAGTAAAAGAAATATCCTTTAAATGTACTGGGGGAGAGGCACTAAGTCAGAATGTGCTGGCTATAGAATTTTGGGCATGCAGAAAGGAGAGAAGGAAATATAGATTGGTATAGGAACATCCCAAGAGGAAAAACAAAAAGGAATGTTTAAGTTCAAGGATGAATTTAATTTCAGATGTTTAAAAAAAAACAACTATATTTGAGAATAGTTGCTGCTATAAAACCTAAATGACAGTACCAAAAAATGAAAACAATCCCAGACCAATAGATAACTTGGTTAGAATTTCAGAGACTATTTTGTAGGATGTACAGAGCAAAACACAGTGGAAGTAGATCTTGAGCTGAGTAAACTAGATGGGCTTCCCAATTAAAACTTTTCTACAACTCAAATCCAGGAGGCCTCAGAGGACAGATCCTATGAAATAGGATGCTCTCACTAAGAAACTTTTGGCTGCTGTTCTAATTCACAAGTGAGACAAAAACATTCAAAGTTCCTTCTTTTTACATGTTACATATCAAAAGTTTGTTAAGACTTAAATAGTGCAGAAGGATTCCTTCAAACTTGACTCCCTTAGGCACAAACTTAAACAGAACAGAATGCCATATTCCATCTTGTGCCTTTCCCCTGAATCATTTGAAGACACACTTGGATGCCATTAGCAACAATCCAAATGTATTTAAACATTATTGTAATTATAAAGATTGTATGGATATTATCACACTTTTCAGAAGATTTTAGAAAACGTGTTAAGTGGATCTTGTTTAGCTAGCATCACATTCATATATATATATAAATATATGTATTATTTTTAAACCTCATCTGAGGATATGTTCACTGATTTTAGAGACAGGAAGAGGAGGGAGGGAGGGAGAATTGGAGGGAAGAAGGGAGGGAAAGGGAGAAACATCAGTTGCCTCCCATACGGTAACCTGGCCCCAAACTGGTAACCTGGGTATATGTCCTGATAGGGAATCAAACCCAAAACCTTTTGTGTACAGGATGACACTCCAAGCAACTGAGTCACCAAGTCAGGGCAATCACATTTCATATTTAAGCATAAGCAGATGGAACATCCATAACCTCATTCTTATTAAAGGAACGTGATTATAAGTCAATTAAAATATAAAAATTAGCTCTTCATGCAAAATACAGTGATGGTACAAATCCTGCTTCTTTATACTGAAACTTTCTACACCATTAGAAGTTTCCAAAATCCATTCCTGTGCTTTTAATGGCTGCCATCAAATTGCTCCTGATCTTTTACAATGTCCCTATAATAAGTCTTTGGAAGTAATTTCACCTAACACTCCAAACAAACCCATTTCATTAATGGATTACAGGCATTTTTTGAAGTAGTTTGGTTTACTAAATGTAGCCAGATGGTATAGGTTCATAAGTCAAAATGGCTGTACAGCATTAGACTGATGATTTAATATCTTATAAAGTGGTCAGCAGATACACACCAGGAATCACTATTAGGTAAAGGGATACACTGGTCTAATCAACTCCTGTTCAATTCATAGTGGTATATGCTTGAGATAGTAGCATGTCTCAGTGAAGAGGGAGAGCACAGTAATGAGGTACACATAGGTTGTTCGCAAAGAAAACTGCCTGTGGCTAAAACAAAATCCAGTGAGTGAAGAGGGGGCAGAAATATATTCTATTTAACAAAAGACACAAGTACAAATTCAGCTTTAAAACGGTTACTTCTAAGTCATAAACAGACATTTCTTTTGTTTTAAAGGGCAATTTAAAATGCAATTTTAGAAAACAAAAATTTTAAAAAGTTATAATTGGCAAAGATTAAGCAAGTGATAGTAAGCATTTTCGGGGAGGGTGTAAGTTGGTATATTTTTCTTAGACGATAGTTTGGTACATGTGAGAAAAGCTTTAAAATGTTTTCGTGTGTGTGTGTATATATGTATGTATATTATATATAATATTATTACAATAGGTATTTGATTACTGTGCACAGTGAGATTATAAAGCTGTGATATTTAATGTCACAGCAAGGCTGTGGGGATAACCTTCTTTCTAAAATACTAAAAAATGTTTTTTATTCATTCCTACAATTTAAATATTCTGTTGATAAACTCTCTTAGAAATCCAAAGCCAAGTATATAAGTTAACATATATTGAAACTAAGATAAATCTTAAACCAGATAATGTTTCAGAAAAGAAGTTACTTGGACCAGTGGGTGGGTAAATATGGTGAGTAAAAGAGCATGAGATAGGGAGAAGATAGGGAAAAGAGCAGTTTCTATCTCTAGAATTTGACTTTTTTTAAATTTTTTTTTATTTATACCCCAAGAAGGTATGATTAAAAATGTCTGTAAAAATGAAGAAGAAAAAAAAAGACTTAAAAAAAGATGTATAGCTAAGCTCCAGTACCATTACCATTATAACATATCTTCCAGGCAAATTAACGGCTCACAAACACCCGTAGACATACCTGGCAGAGCAGTTATGAAATCCCTCTGCAGCATAGGTTTAAGGTACGAGTTTATGTGCCCATGTTGGTAATGACACATTTGGGATATAAGATGTTCCACAAATTCCACTTGATCGGATTCTGACCACTGCTCAAAATATTTGACACACAGTTCCTTTTCCTTCTCATAGCTTGCCGAGAGTTTCCGTTGTTTGGGCACAATCATACTGGAAGTGCCATTGGCAAGTTTTGTCTGTAGGAAGGGTGGATTAAAAACACACACATAACAACAAGTATTGAGAATGAGGGAAATATATAAATTATTGGTCTTGCATGCTATGTTATGTCTATAAAATAGAGCTCACTGTTACACTTAGTAATTGAATGTTTGTGAACAGTAATTACAATAAAAGACACAGAAATACCATAGTAAGTTGGTAAATTGGGAATATTGCTGAATGAGTAGGCATCTATTTCCAAAAGTTCATAGGAAGACATTATTTGGGGATATATAGAGATGAAAACCAAAAGCTGAAAGCATGTTGTAACTATTATTAGCAGTCAAAGAAGCTAATTTCCCTTTTCTTTTGCCAGGCAAAGGAATTTGGCCCTACTTCTGCAGAAAATGGTTAAATAGCAAAGCTTCTTGGATAAGAATAAGTAGAAAATGCAAGAAATGGCTTTGCAGTTAGAGCAGAAGTGGCACACAGCTCTGCACTGAGGTGCTGTGGGATGGAGGCCTGGTGAAAAGAACTACGAGCAAGTTGTGTCTTCTTTTCTGTTGGGGGTGTAGGCTGGGTTAGCTCCTTATTTTCATTCTTCCATTGATTTGTCCTATTCTCTTTAAGGCTTATATAAAACCCTTTTTTCTGTTTTAAAATACATTAATTTTTAATTTGCTTTTTCTTTTATAATATATCAGTTACTAGACATTTATACAATTACCGACAACTTATCTTTTAATAGTCAAATAAGAAATCCTCCATACAAAGAAAGGCCAATGACTAATTTGAGACTATGGTACTTTGGAACTAAAGCTCAAAATAACATTTATATCCTTCATCTACCCTTCCTCCCCCCAAAAAATCCCATCTCCACTGTCATCAAAATTAAATGCCATAAAGTCTTTTTTTATTAATTGGTTCAGTCAATAAATATTAATTAAGCATTTACAACATACCCAACATTGTCCTAGGTCCTAGGAATACAACACTGAACAAAAATAACAGTCTATCACTGAGGGAACTTATGATCTAGTGTGTACAGCAAGTTAAAAACAACCAAATAAATAGAAAATATAATGTCTACAGTGCTATGAAGAAAACTAAAACAGGATAGAGGATAGGCAAAATTATACGATGGTCCCAAGAAGCTTGGCTACTGATGTACACACATCTTTCAGTTTTTCAAACAAACATGTAGATACTGCTGTGATTTAATTAAGGTCCCAAATTAGTTGACCTTAAGGTTGGGAGGTGTACTCTGGTGGTTCTGATCTAATCAAATGAGCCCTGTAAAAGCAGAGTTGGTGGCGGAAGAGGAAGGAGACCATCTGGCAAGGAATGAAAGCAGCCTCTAAGAGCTGACAGCCAATAAAGAAATGGGGATCTCAACCCTACAAAGGCAAAAAACTGAATTCTGCCAACAATAATGAGAGAAGAGAATTTCCCCCCAGAGCCTCTGGATGAGAACTGGCCAACCCTTGATATATTTTTTTATTTTTTTTAATCCTCACCCAAGGATATTTTTTTCATTGATTTCCAGACTCACATATAGTCAGTTGATTTTTGAAAAAGGTGCTAAGATAATTCAATCAGGAAAGGATAGTCTTTTCAACAAATGATGCTAAAACAATTGGGTATCTGCTTAGAAAAATGAACTTGCAGATAAAAATTAACTTTAAGTGGATTCTGGATTTATATGTAGAACTTCTAGAAAAAAATATGAGGAAATCTTGTTGCTATTTGGGTAGGCATACATTTCATAGATAAATCAGTATGTGGTAAAATTTTAAACTTATAGTTTGAAAAAAACAAAAAAAAATTCAAGTAATAAACTATGAGAAAAATATTCGCAATATATGTATTTGACAAAGGACTTGTATCTAAAATATATAAGGAACTCCCACTACTCAGTAAGAAAAAAAAAATAACTCTTTTTTTTAAGACTTGGAGAGACACTTAAACAAAAAAAGATCCAGGGATGGCCAATAAGCAAATGAACACCATTAGTGACAAGAAAACGCAAATTAAAATCACAAGACCCCACTACAAACTTACTAGAAGGGCGAAAAGTAAAGAGACTGACCCTACCAAGTATTGGCAAGAATGAGGAGCAATTGGGTCTCTCATACATTGCTGGCAGTAATGTTTACTGGTACAACCACTTCTGAAAAACCGATGGACAGTTTCTTATAAGGTGAAACATACTTATTACATGAGCCAGCAATTCCACTCTTAGGTATTTATTTCCCCAAATAAAAACTTATTTCCACACAAAACACTTGTACATGAATATTCATAGCTGCTTATTAATAAGAGTTCCCACTGTCCATCAAGAGTTGAATTGATAAAGTTACAGATACACAAAATGACAAGGATAAATCTCAAAAACGTGCTGAATAAAAGAAGCCTGGCACAAACGAAAACATACTTTATGATTCTCTTTATATGAAACTCGAAGGACAACAAATCCAATTTATAATAATAAAAACAAATCAGTGGTGGCATGGGGCTGCATGAGGGGGTCGGACAGATGAGTTAAGGGCAGAAGAGTTTGGGGCAATGAAAATGTTCTACTGTTGTTACACAGGTGTACTAGTATGCAGTTGCCAAAATTCATCCAACTGTATACTTTCAATGGGTGTATTTTATTATATGTAAATTACCTTAATAAAATTGATTTTAAAGCTTCTAAGGCTAGGGTATGTCTAAGGATAAATGCCACTGTAATATTAATTTGATTTGTAACGAAGATATTGTATTTGTAGAGATAACAAAGGTAAAGGTCTTTGTTATCAACCCTCTTCCTTCCATCATTCTCCCATACAGATTTTTCTACTAATGTCTGAGGTAAATGCAGCAAAATTTCCATTTGAGAGTCTTTAAAAATCCACAGGGTACAGTGAAAAAGTTCACTTATTAAAAACCCAAAAGGTTGTATATTAGAGTGTATGGGCGAGAGGGTAATGGTTATTGGTGGCAACAGAATTTATTTGGCCTTCCCAACATAAGCCCAATGACTCAACCACTACAGTTCAAATGTCTAGGAAAGCTGATAGACAACCTCAGTTTAATGGTAACACTAATTTTCTGCCACCCCTGCACATCTCCTTTTCTGCTTTTCTGTTTACAATGAACAGTTATCTCCAAAAGAAAGAAGAAAGAAGCTGTCAGGTGACAAGCACACAAAATGAAAGAAAAGTATTTATATGACTGTCCACAGCTTAGTCCTCAAAGGCTAAGGGCTAGCATTCCCCACCCACTCCTCCTCCTCCCCACCCCCGAAGACACAGTACAAAATTACCATAAATTTCTCTGCTGCCGCCGTAAGGGCCAGGATAGAAAAATATATACTTGCAGACACCAACTAGTCTAACCAACACACCATTGTACTATTAAGTGTGCTGACTTTGCCACCTGTATAGGTTGGAAGACATAGCATGAACTGGCTAAACTTGATGCTAAAATGACAGATATTTCTAATTTGCATGCAAAACGTTCTTTATTTAACCATTAAGATGGGCATGGTAAGTAGATAAGGAAAATGTTCCAGACGTAGAACACTACTTGCGATTAGGGGAGCAAGGCCTAGGTAAAGAGTAATATTTATTACTAGAGAGATGCAAATGATATTTAAGGATTCTGTGTGGCTTTAAGAAGGGCTCTGATGAAAGAATGGCATTGAAACCCATAGTAGGGGGAAGAAGATATAATGATTAATAGGATGCAACAATGTAAGAATGAAATGGGCAAGGGTTGTGCTGGGAGTAAGGCTATATGTTTCTCTCATGAAACTTTAGAGTTATCAAGCAACCAACAACCATTTATTGAGTGACTACTCTGTTCTGGGCATTTTTCTAGGTGCTAGGGAAACTGGAGAGAAGAGGCACACAAAGTTTCTTTATCTTCTCCTGGGAAGGGTAGAGACAGAATCCTATATAATAAAAGCCTAATATGCAAATTGACCAAACAGTGGAACAACTGGTCATTGGGGTGTGGGGCCAGCAAATGGACAATATCAGGCCAGCCAAGGTGGGTACCAATGGGCAGAGGGAGAGGGCTGCAATCAAGGGATGGCAATGACTGGAGGCAGTGGAGGGGGAGCGGGGCAGGGCCGGCTGCTTGCTAGCTGGAGCCATCGATCGGCCCACTGGTTGCCTTCTGCAGAGGGAGGCCAGACTCCGGCTTAGGCCCTCTCCCTGTGGGAAGCGGGCTTAAGCTGTCAGGCAGACACCCCCCAAGGGCTCTTGGACTGTAAAAGAGTGCGGGCTGGGCTGAGCTCTCCCTCCCCCCAGTGCACAAATTTTTGTGTACCAGGCCTCTAGTATATAATAAATATATTAATTCCAGAAACCAGTAAGTATTGTGAAGAAAACAATAGATGTACATTAAATAGGGAGTGAGTAGTACAGCATACTTTAACTGAGGTGGTCATGAAATGATAACATATGAACTGAAATTTAAATGTAAGTCAGTCTTCTGAAGATCTGGGGAAAAGCCTTCCAAACAGAAGAAGAGCAAATCAAAGCTGTGTTCAAGTGAAAGAAAGAAGGCTAATACACTGGGGCAGTGAATGAGGGGGATGGGGGGGACACTGGTGAGAAATGAGGTTAGTGAGGTGGCCGGGGGCCAGATCATATAAGGCCTTCTGGGCCTCAGTAAGGAGTATGGATTTCATCCTAAGTGTAAAGGAGAGCCCCTAAGGCTTTGAAGTAGTCAAATAGAACATCATCTGATTTATGCTTTAGAAATATTTACACTCGCTGCCACACAGAAAATGGTGGTGAAGGATGGGAAGGTAGGAAGAGGATAACAAGAACAAGCTGTGAGAGCAGAGGCAGGAAGACTAATCAGAAGTCTGATAAAATAATCCGGCAAGTGGTGATAGTGGCTAAAATGAGAAAATTAGAAGAAAGGTATTTTACCCTCACAGGAGAGAAAGGAAGAGGGCCTGTTGAGAATATAAATCCAGGTTATAATACCCATTTATTTCAGTATAACGTTTTACTGATCCTTCAAATATTTAATCTGA